GGGAGGTGTTTGTGGCCGTGGCCCAGGCGCTGGAGCGGGCTCAGCCCCGCAGCCGGCCAGCGGCCCAGCCAGGAATTTGGGGCTGTGCTGATGTGGAGCCTGTCCAGACACGAAGCCTTGTGCAACAGCTCCTGCTTCTTCCAGAGTGAGATGAGGAACGGATTGGGATTTTTGGGTCGCCACGGGTGACCTCTACAACGCAGCATCCCAGCGGTTTATTCGGGATGTATCGGCAGCGTGTTGCTGCAAATGCTGGAGTCTGAACGCTTCAGTCACTCATTGCTTTGCTTTGACATTTAATGACCGGGTTCCTCAGATATTTGTGCTCCAGCTGCCACTTTTGTGAAGGAAGCCATAACCTTTCACTATTATTTAATGGGTGCCACGTTCTTCCACCAAATTCAGAGGGCCCTGGCCCTGGCCACAGAAATGCTGTGCAGGATGCGTGTCTGCCAGTGGCCCCTTTACAGAGGGATAAAAACAAGTGGGACACATGTAGAATAGCACAGAAGGCTCCTAATTTTACTTCTTTTGCCTGTTTTCCTCTTTTAGACGACACCAAGCTCAATCAGTACGCAGGGAGCGAAGGTAAGCCCATCAGCTGCTCTTTGCCTGCTCGCAGTCCTTACAAGTTTTTCACACCGCGCTGAAATCAAATGCACTGGGGAGTCAGGCAGGTGCACCCAGGACCAGGGGATGCAATCAAGATAAGGCTCCTGTTGTCGTTACCCCCAATTAATACCATTTCCGGGAGTGAAAAGTGAGAGTCCGGGCCGATCTGTTTTACCCCGCTGCTGTTTGTCTGCTTTTCACGCTCAGCCCTGCTGTGCAAATGGGGATGATGAGTTTCCTCTTTCCGTTTAATTCCCTTTCTTTGGAGCTTTTGCATAGGCACAAAGTCCTTTTTAACAATTTTTATTTAGTTTTTTTTCATTTTAATTCTCCCAGCTGTGCCAAAGCTCAGTGTAAAACCCAAATTTAAAGTGTCCTTAGCCCAGCTGTGCCCTTTCCATCTCTGTTCTGTGAATCCTCTCAGTTTGAGTTTGTTCGGCAGCCCTGAGGGCAGGGAACCGAACTTTCCTGTAATGCTCTTACTAATTCCCAACTATGGGAAGGATCCCAGCCCTCCTCACCCGATGTCAGGTTTGCAAGCAAACCATGAGCCCATCCCTCTTACCCAAAAGCCGCTCGGGGAAGTCAAACTGGCTGAACTGGGTGCAGGACCAGCTCCTGCGCAGGCTTGGGGCCTTTGAAATGCGTGATTTTCCCAGTTTAAGCCAAATTTCTCCCTAAATGACTGGTGCTGTCACTGTTGATGTATGCCATGAACCCCCAGGAGTGCTGGGCCATTGCATATTCACAGCTGAGGAGCGAGGGGTGGGTAGGACACCCAGGACCCCCCAGCATTTGGCTGAAGGCTTTCCCTGTATATAAAGAACATGGATTGGAGGGGGGTTACTGCATGGGGGTGGTTCAATCTCTTTTAGCCCAGCCTGGGTCGTACGTGCAGAGCTCTGAAAGGTCCTGCCTTGTTTTTCGGTCCTTTTACCGAGGTCTCAGCACATTTGAGACTCAACCAGGTCGTTTTTGCAGGCGCGGGAAGCAGCCTTCCCTCCACACAAGCCGGGGCCCCCATCCACACCGGAGCCATCGTGGGCATCGTGCTGGCCGTGGTGGTGGTCGCAGCTGTGATCCTTGCTGGGATCTACATCAACAGCCACCCCACCTCCACCGCCGCGCTCTTCTTCATCGAGGTGAGTGGGGAACCCTGTCCCTGGATGGGTTTTGTCTGTCTTTGCTATCAGGAACCTCGCTCGAGCTCATATCTGAGTTTCTTTCCACGGTTCTACAGTCACAGCCCATCTCCCACCCTCCTGGTGTTGATGTTTTAAACTTAGGCTCTTCTCCTCCCACACCATTTTATTTTGCTCCCTTTCACACATTTTGCTCCAATTTCGCACATTGCCTTTTCTTTTCTTTTTTTTTTCCCCTGACACAACGTTAGACCCTTCCACCTGCTTGCACGAGCCTGTGACACGATGGAAATCGCTGCCTTTTGAATTGCCCAGCTGGATTTTTGTTGACTACAACTGTCAGGCTTTACTGATAGATGTCACGCCATCAGCTACTGGTGGTGCGAATGGAAGATTTTAATTCTCGGGAAGATGGGGGGTCTGACGATCTCCATCTGCTGTTAAAAGCCAGGAGACCGCTCGGTGCCGAACCCCGAGGCAGAAGGGGCTGAAGTCAAACTTTCACAAAGACAACATTGCTTGTGTTTCGGGACCGAGTTTCCCGTTCCCCTGCAGGTTTGGGGTGAAAGGCGCTGTCGTATCTTCCCTATTTCTGTCCCCAGCGAAGGCCGCACCACTGGCCCACCATGAAGTTCCGAAATCACACCAACCACGCCACGTACGCGGAGGTGGAGGCGGCCAGCCAGGAGAAGGAGGGCTTTGTCGAAGCAGAGCAGTGCTGAGCGCTTCCCCCCCTGTGCCGCAAACCTCCCCTGTCTCGAGTGTTGGAGTCTTCTGTTTTTCTATTGCAAAGTCTTTCACCTCTTGGAGAAGAAGCAGCAAGCGGAGGAAAAAAAAAGACCCAGTGGAGCATCTGGAAGGAGGGAGTTGGGGTGATGTGGGGCTGGGCTTGGCTGGACTCCTCCAGAGACAGCGCAGACCGTGTTGGTGGCAGCCAGGTGTGACATTGGACTCTGCAGCCCAGCATCGAAGCCCTGGATGTGGTGGTAGAGAAAAGGCACAGTCAGTTTTTGTAGCTCAGTGTGGGGTTTTTTGGTTTTGTGGTTGAGTTTCCCCCCTCAGTGTGGGGCTGATCTCTTCCCTCCTCCACTGAGAGCATTAACAGGGCAACAAAGGTGGGGACAAATCTCAGTATGGGCAAAATATGCAGTTGCCAGCTCTTGGGGACAGCAAAACAGATGTTTCTCACTGCACACTCCAGCTCTGCCTGCGCTCAGGGCTGGTGTCCCCTGCCCCCCTCCATAGCAAGGCATAGTGACTGGGGGTAGGTGCTGCTGGTGGCCCAGGTTGGCTCTCCAGGGCTCCCCTCCTCTCTCCATCCCCTCTCCTCAGCTCTGTCCCTTTCTCCTTCTTTTGGGATGAGCAACATTTAATTCTGAAGCCTTGTGCCCTTCTCTTTTCATCCTGCAATTGGTTTTCCATGGCTTCACCTCCTTTCGAAGCCACAGCCTCCCCCTGCTCTGGAGAAAGGGGAACCCAATCTGTTTTAAGGGCAAAAACCCTGCGGAGGATTCACCTTCAGGATGTTTGTGAGCTCTGATGCACTTTTTGGGCATCTAATTAGTTTGCTAAATTGCTAATTATGCCCCTTCCCCTAAAGGGGACAAAGTCTGGAAATAAAAAAATCTTAAATTCCTTCAAAATATGACCTCATGGTGTGGCCACCAATCCAGCAGGACCCACGTGGGTTTTAATGGAGGACGATGGGGACAGGACACCAGCGAAAGCAGAGTCCTCCCAGGGGCTAAATCCTGATATAAATCCAAGTTCATCACGGGCACTTCACATAAATGAGAAGTGAAGGCACACGTGTGCCATGGAAAAAGCTGAAAATCACCTTGTTAACAGCGTAGCTTTTAGAGCCTGCACAAGTCAGTGGAATTTTATCGACTTTTTTATTTTATCAAGTCTGTGATAGGCCCCCTGTATCTGTATGTGTAGCATGATTCCCGCATCTGACCCTACCTACGGCTTTGACTCGACCTCTCAGGGTTTTCTACTCCTGTGCAATCGGAACCCAGCACTAATCTGCAGAAATTACCCTAATTCCACAGACACCAGCCTAAACCGAGGAAAATTTCTATAAAAAAAAGAGAGTCCAAAGTCCTGTGTGAGGTAAAGTTTGCCTTCCTCCACCTAAAAAAGGTGTTGGCTGTATGGGACTTCCTTTTTTTTCTCTTTATTTTTCTGCTGATCCTCAGTTATTTATTCTGATAATCATGTTTGGTGCATATTTTATCCACTGGCTGGTTCAGCTGTCACTGGTGGTGATTACTGCCAAAGGCAGGGTCTGTCTAATTAATGTTTTCCTTCTCATCTGCTGAATTTATATAGCCATTAGAGATAAATATGGATGCTTTGTGGCATTTAGACCCCAGATTATTCTTTCTCATGCATAGCCACTAGGGAGACTTCTGCTGCATCTTATTATGGCAGAAAGCCACCAAAACGCTCAAGAAGGGTAACTCGGGCTGAGTTGTGCCAAGTTGTTCTGGCCCAGACACCCTCTCTTCAGACATATTTTGAAGAGATACTTTATTCCAAATAAAGCTTTTAACTGGAAGGTTGTTTTTTTCCCCCCGTTTCCCTCAAGTCGAAAGAACTCAAAGGGATGCTGTCAGCTGGTTTTTGCCCAGGATCTGATCTCCTTTGAAATGGTTATGAGCTGGTAAAGAATTTTCTCTGGATTTAACTCCTTTCAAAGAATGGCCTTCTTTTTACTGTTTTACTGAACGTGTATATACAACAACAGCAAGATTTTGGGTACTCTTTTTTCCCCTACAACCTCTGGAAATGCTAGGTAACATCCAACGCTGCGAATTTAAAAGAAAACAGACTTAAAATAGTGTGCAATTGAGCTGTAGAAATCACAGCCAGGATCTTAGGAGGATTCAGAAGAGGCTCAGATACTCAGGTGCAGAATAACATCTGAGTGCCACAGCACAGAAATGGTTTAGATATGTAAACCACCTCTACTGCAGGGCAGATGCCAAGTTCTGAGTGCCTGGAGTAAAAAAGGCACTTTTTCTTGCCTTTAAGGAAAGAAACAAACCAAACCAGGCTGTTCTGTATTCCATAGCAGTGCACCAGCTGTCTGGTCTACCTTCTGCTGAGAAATGGGGTTTGGGGCGATGTCAGGTAGAGCGTTAACGGCTCCAATTCATCATCTTTAAGACCTTGTGGTAGAGGGAAATGGAGAGTGCTCATAGTCATGGGTGTGCTCTGAGGTTTGGATCCCACTGCCTGGAAAAGGCGTTGGGATGCTGTGTGTCAAGCAGGAGAAAACCAAATATTCAGTCCTACCTTTGAACCTGAGGTTTAGCTCTGGGTAATTGAAGTTGACATCGGGGAAGCTCCAAGTCAGCAGGGAGCGATCTTTTCTGAATATTCTTTGCACGTGGCTTTGTAGTGGGAGAGATTTTTCTATGCTGACAGCGTCTAGAAGAAAGAGAAAAATGTCTTTACCATCACCGAGTACCACTGTAGTGCTGAAGAGGAGAGTCTGGGCTTAATGGATCAAACGCATCAGGATCGATGCTCCTTTCCTGTCTGACTCCAATTCAAGATGCCAGTTAATCTTGCTAAGTCTCAAGTGCCAAAGTGAGAATGGGATGATGGCGACAATGCCAGAAAAAGAGTTGGATATTTTGCTTTGAATTCTAGCCGCATCCTGGGGTTTTCCTCTGGGTTCTGGTGACCCCAGCGTTTGGGCTCGCTTCAAAGCAGACCGCACACCGTACGTGTGTAGTGCCCTGTATATTTTATGGCTGTAATGCGGGCAGGGGCTGTACCTGTGCTCAGTCCATGGCTCCGCTGGTTTAAAAGAGGATGCAAACCCCAAAACAAGAAATCTGCTCCTCAGCTGCGTTGAGGAGCTGGGAAAGCCCAGCACGGGGTTTATCAGGGACCCAGGAGAGGGGGTTCTGCTCCTGGGAAAGGTGGGGGCTCACCACCCCCATTTTTGGATCGATGGGAGCAGGGCCCTGATCAAAAAATATTCTCGTAACAACTACAGGCCTACTTTCCACATACTTGAATTTACAGCACAGTTGGACTATTTCAAGGGACTAAAGGCACTTTAACTGTCTTTTACTGCAATGTATTTACTATGGATTATCTGCATGGAATACAGTCTTAATATTAAAAACAAAATCTTCCTTTTGGACTGCTTTGTTTTCAAAATAAAACATGCAAAGGATTCTTGGTTGTGCTATGTGAGCTTCTAAGCAGGAGGGGAATTATTCTCATCTTGTATTCTTTTAGTTGACGCTGTAAGAATACAAGGATTTTTCTTCTTATAAGATGGAAAAGGATGTCTTAAATAATAACACATCATTATCAGGGGGTGTTCCCAGGGCACATCTACTATAAAAATGAATGTAATTGAGGCTTGAATCAAGGCTATAATTTTATTCTCATTTTATTCCGCTCAGATTATTTAGATTTATTTGATTTCAGGCTTCTCAGCTTGAACAATGAAGGTTGCTCGGCCCATTTGACTTTTGTTGACCGTAGTCAGGTTTAGGGTTTTGATCTCTGCACTACCACTAAATTATTTTGAAAATGTAGATTGCTTTCAGGGTCGTTATCTGAGACCTCTGGGTAGCACCTCCAGGTTTAGGCTTCCTTTGCTGTTGTACATTAAAAGTATGAACACGCTGGCACGATGCAGTAACTGAAAGGAAATTGCAGATAACGACGGATACCAATAGATTGCACCTCCTTTCAATGGCTATGACCATGGTGCAGTATTGAAAAAAAAGAAGTAATTGGGGGAAAAAAGTAATCTATCAGCTGCTTCTCATTTTCACCTCGCACGCTGTTCATCCTCTCCTCCCCAGGGGTCTTTTCCAGGTTGAGAGAAACTGCGCTAACCCAATAAAAGCAGCTATAAATTAATTTAAACATGATAAAAGCATTCTGCTCTCCCAGTGCCTTATTCTATATTTTTCTGAGTGGAGAAGGAGCAGATATATAATTAGAATATATATAAATAGCCCATGTACATATCTGTCTATATAGATAACTCTAAGCAAATACTTGATAATACACAAATAAGCAAAAAGGCAAACAGACAGCTCTCCTGAACCAATACCTTTCATACTAAATAACGCCCCAGAAACAGGGGGTGGAAATACCTAGCTATTATACAAATAAACAAGGAGGGGTTTTTTTTACCCTGGAAATGTAACTGCAGGTACAACAGCATGCTGAACCATAATTAATAGCACTGAAAGCAAGCAGGGAGCAGATTGCTACAAAAGGGCCTGTGGGTGGTGGAATAAAATCTCAAGTAGATGCACAGCTCTGAAGCTGCGTTTTCACAAGCGCGGTGGAATTAAGCTTTGGGTAGGACTGGGAGCAGGGAATTGGGGCTCCCTGGTTGTGTATTAAATGTCTTTGTGCCTTGGGCTGTCTCACCTAGAAAGGAAACGCAGGAATAAACAAACAAGCTGTAAATTCGCTGTTATTTGTTAGATACTCACAGATGCTCGGGGGAAAGGTGTTTTCAAGGTGGAGAATTAATGGCTGACTGCGAGCATTGTACACATGTCCAGCGCAGAAGCTGTTTTTTCCACCTGCATCCACACAAAGTGGGGCTCACGCAACCCTTGGACAGGTCTGGGGGAAGCCATGGAGCTGGTTATCACCATTTTTTAAAATTATCTTTGCAAGACAATTTTATTTGTTTGCATAAAACACATTTCTGGCCCATGGATGT